CGGAGGAGCCTGGTAAGCTACAGTCCATGGGGTCGCTAAGAGTCGGACACGACTGAAGCGACTTAGCAGCAGCAAGGCAAAGGAAACAAAGGCAAAAATAGACTCGTGGGATCTAATCAAAGTTAAAAGTTTTTGCACAGCAAAGTAGACCATCGACAAAATGAAAAGACAACTTACTGAATGGGAGAAAATATTAGCAAATGATATGATCAACAGGGGATTCATATTCAAAATATATAAACAGCTTATACAACTCAACATCAAAAATCAAATAAACAACTTGATTAAGAGTGGGAAAAAGACCTGAATAGAAAATACACAGATGGCCAGCAGGCAAATGGAAAATGCTCAGCGTCGCTAATCATCAGAGAAATGCAAACGAATGGCACAATGAGATATCGCCTCATGCTGTGCTTGCGCTTAGGTGCTCAGTCATGGCTGACTCTCTGTGACCCCACGGACTGTAGCCTACCAGGATCCTCTGACCATGGGGATTCTCCAGGCCAAAATACTGGAGTGGGTTGCCATGCCTTCTTCCAGGGGATCTTCCCAACCCAGGGATCAAACCCAGGTCTCCCCCATTGCAGGCAGATTTTTTACCATCTAAGCTACCAGGGAAGCCCTATCACCTCATACCTCACACCTATCATCACAAGGCCACAAATAACAGCCATTGACAAGGATGTGGGGAAAAGGGAACCCTAGTACATTGATGGAGGGAATATAAATTGGTGTAGCCACTATGAAAAACAGTATGGAGTTTCCTTAAAACAGTTCTAAAACTAGAACTACCATATGATCCAGCAATTCCACTCCTGGGTAGCTAGCTAAAGAAAACAAAATCACTAATTCAAAAAGATACACACATTTCAGTGTTCAGAGCAGCTCTATTTACAATTGCCAAGATATGGAACAACCTTAGTGTCCATCAACAGGTGGGTAAAGAAGATGTGCTACTTACACACACACACACACACACACACACACACACACACACACCCCACTGGAGTACTACTCAGCCCTGAAAAAGAATAAAATGTTGCTATTTACAACAATTTAGATGGACCTGGAGGGTATTATGCTTAGTGAAATGTCAGACAGAGAAAGACAAAGACTATCTTATTACTTATATGTACAATCTAAAAAATAAAATGAATGAATATAACAAAATAGAAACAGATTCACGGATACAGTGAACAAACTAGTGATTACCAATGGGGTGAGGGAAGGGAAGAGGAGCAAGTCAGGAGTAGGGGATTGAGAGGTACAAACTCCTATGTACAAAATAAATAAACTATAGGGATATAAGGGCTTCCCCAGTGCTCAGAAGGTTAAAGAGTCTGCCTGCAGTGCAGGAGACCCAGGTTCTATCCCTGGGTTGGGAAGATCCTCTAGAGAAGGACATGGCAATCCACTGCATAGGGTTGCAAAGAGTCAGACACTGAGCAACTCACACTTTTTCACTTTCACTGTACAGCACAGGGCATATAGTCAGTATTTTGCAATCAAAACAGTATGGTCCTGGCACAAAAACAGAAATATAGTTGAATGGGACAGAATAGAAAGCCCAGTTATAAACCCACAAATCTACAGTTGATTAAACTATGACAAAGGAAGCAAGAATATCCAATAGAGAATAGTCTTTCAATAAGTGGTGCTGGGAAAACTGGACAGCCACATGTAAAAGAAAGAAAACATTCTCTAACACCATACAGAAACATTAACTCAAAATAGATTAAATACTTAAATGTAAGATCACATCTATAAAACTCCTAGAGGAAAACATAGACAGGACACTCTTTGACATAAACTGCAGCAATATCTTTTTGGATCCACCTCCTAGAGCAATGAATAAATACAAAAATAAACAAATGGGACCTAATTAAACTTAAAAACTTTTCTTTTTGCATATCAAATAAACAAAATTAAAAGCCTACAGAATGGGAGAAAATATTTGCAAAGGATGCAACCAACAAGGGATTAATCTCCAAAATCTGTTAATAAAAATAGCCAGCTCAGCTCAAAACAAACCAACCAACCACCAAGCAAGCCAATAAAAAATTGGCAGAAGATCTAAATATACATTTCTCCAAAGACATTCAGATGAACAAAAAACACATAAAAAGATGTTCAACACCACTAATTATTAGAGAAATACAAATTGAAACTACAATGAGGTATCACCTCAAACCAGTCAGAAAGGCCATCATCAAAAAGTCTACAAATAAATGCTGAAGAGGCTGTACAGAAAGGGGAACCCTTTTGCGCTGTTGGCTTGGGTTGTAAATTGTTACAACTACTGTGGAAAACAGTATAGAGCTTCATCAAAAAACTAGAAATAGCATTACCATATGATCCAGCAATTATACTTATGGGAATATATACAAAGGAAATAAAAATATGATATTAAAGAGATATATGCATACCCACATTCATAGCAGCATGATATCCACAATAGCTAAGACATGGGAACAACTTAAGTATCCATCAGTGGATGAATAAAGAACTTGTGAAATATATATATATATATATATATATATACACACATACATACACACTATTCTACTGTGTGTATATATATGTACATATATACACACATACATGTATACACACACACACACATGCAAGAATAGTACTCAGACATAAAAAGAAGAAAATCCTACCATTTGTGACAACATGATGGGTATTATGCTAAGTGAAACAGGTCACACAAAGACAAACAATAATCTCATATGTGGAGTTTAAAAAAAGAAGAAGGAAAAAAAACCCCAAACGCATAGAAAAGGAGAACAAATTTGTAGTTATCGAGGCAGAAGATAGTGGATGAGAGAAGTGGATGAAGACAGTCAAAAGTTTCACACCTCCAGTTATAAGTACTGGGGATGCAATGTACAACATGATGACTATAGTTAACACTGCTATATGATATATTTGAAAGCTGTTAAGAGGATAGATCCTAAGAATTCTCAGCAAAGGTAAACAAACATTTTTTTTCTTTTTCCTTTTTCTTTTTTTCCTTTAGTTTCCTTTGTGTATGTGTGTCTATATGAAATGATGGATGTTAACTAAACTTTTTTTTCTTTTTTGCCACATCACGTGGCGTGTGGGATCATAGGTCACTGACCAGGGATCGAACCTGTGCCCCCTGCCTTAGAAGCACAGAGTCTTAAAAAAGGGGAAGTCCCCTTAACTAAACTTCTTATAGCAATTTTTTCACAATACAGACAAGTCTTTATGCTGTTTACCTTAAATGTATACAGTGCTATATGTCAATTACATCTCAATAAAACTGGAGGAGAAAAAATGTCATAGGAGTTGAGTGGTCAAGGGTATTTTCTAGTTCACTTACTCCAACCAACACATTTTACAGATGAGGACAATGAGTTTTAGTGTGAGTTCAAGGTTACAAGCTAATTAGCAGCCAAATTTAGGTTTCTGGATCCCAAATTCAGAGTTCTTATGATTATATTGCCATAAAACCTGTATTGTTAATCCTTCATGGGTCACATCAGAAACATGATCTGACTTCACATACTAGATCTTGGGTTTGAAATTAGGACAGGGCAGAGTCGCCAGCTGTCAAAGTGAATCCTGAGGAGCGAGAACTGAATGGGGCAGGGGTGGTATGAGCAGGAGGTTGGAAGACTTTTAAATATAAATGATGGCTGGGATTGTTGGGAGGAGGAGACAAGACCTAGCATCAAAGTCACAAGGAGAGTATTGGCAATGGTCAGTTTCCAAAAGATTGATTTGCCTGTAGGAAAGGAGTAAAAAAAAAAAAAAAGAATCCTCAAATATATCAGGTTTGTGTACTTTATTCATCTGTTCTAGCATCTTTGTTGTCTGAGATGTCATAAGATGGGGATCTCTGAAGTTTTAGAATAAATAAACAAAATATACTATCAAAATCCCACAGCTTATAAGTCCCTTCCCCTCTTCACACGGAAATTGTAAATACAGGAAGGATTTCATTTTAAAGCACTCTAAGAAACTGTCCCTGGTTGTTATTACTATTATTCGTCTTCCCACTCCTCCTTCCTTGCCCATCCTCATCTTTACTGACTTCTCTATGAAATAAATGCATCACTATCTAGGCTTTGAAGTTGAAGCTGTTTATTGTAATTTGATTCACAGTGTGCAAGCCCGGTTGTGTCTGACTCTTTTGACCCCATGGACTGTAGCCCGCCCATCAATGGGAGTCCCCAGGCAAGAATACTGGAGTGGGTTCCCCCTTCCCACTCCAGAGGATCTTCCTGACCCAGGGATCGAACCTGGGTCTCCTGCATTGTCAGGTAGAGTCTACCAACTGAGGCACCTGGGAAGACTTAACTGTCATATTATTATAACTATGAAGGAACTTCTCTGAAAGGACTACTCCCACAGAGATGTACCCAGACTTTAACAGCCCAAAGAAATGTCTTCCAGTGTTATTTCTTTGGAAGTTAATTCCTGCTCTTTATACACAACCATGATCCGCCTGTTTTATGATGTCTGGTAACTGAAACAGGCTATAGAAATAAATAATTATGTGACCATATCAACCTTTACATGGTTGTAAGTCAGTCTCCATTTTCAAATACATACATGCACACACACTTTCAAGCTGGGAGTCTTCACTTTGCACGTTGTAAAACCCTGAATCATTTATTTAAAGGGAGAAATGTGATTTTGTAATTATAAACACTAATGAAATTGTATGTAGTTGATGAATTTATCGATTATCTCAAGGTCTGACAATCTTATTAAACTGCTTTCTAGATTCAATTTGAACTCTCATCCTCTGAAAATAATAAGCCACTTTGGGGAACATGGTAATGTATAGCGTCATTAAGCTTCTCAGTAAAGATTGAATTTTTCTGTAAGATTTTTCTGTATGAGTGTGAGAATAAAGTTAGAACAATTTCAGAGGGATTAAGTTCACAGAAAGGAATCCATTCCAAGCAATAATTTGGAAAGTTGTATTTGAACCTTAATTAGAGCTGTAAGCCCATAGAACTTACCTGAGCCTATGGAGTTCCTTTATGTGAATTCAGTGGGCTGGAAAAAAAATTAACAATGATTCTTTAATGTCACAGTCAACCCTAGAAGTGAAGAACAGGGAAGCCTGGCATGCTGCAGTCTGTGGGGTCACAAAGAGTTGGATACAACTTAGCAACTGAACAATAACCCTAGAAAAACTAAGCTACACTTCCAAACTTCTCTAGTTTTATGAGAAAAATAGCAAGTGCTCAGAATAATTTCCCCTCAAGTGTTCTGCCATGGGACTGGTTCTTAAATCCGAGTAACCTCCAAATCTCCTGGAGGACTGGGTGCAAGTCCCAGAATTTCTGATTTAGTAGCTCTGGGTGGGGCCCAGGAATTTACATTTCTACCAACTACCCAAGTGATACTTATTTTCAAGGGCCACACTTTAAGAACTAAATATTCGTGTATATATATGTGTGTATACACACACACACATAGACTTTCATTATATGACACATATATGATATTATACACATATATACATATATGGGCTTCCGTTGTAGCTCAGTTGGTAAAGAATCTGCCTGCAGTGCAGGAGACCTGGGTTCAATCCCTGGGTTGGGAAGATCCCCTGGAGAAGCAAATGGCAACCCACTCCAGTATCCTTGCCTGGAAAATCTCATGGACAGAGGAGCCTGGTGGGCTGCAGTCCATGGGGTCGCAAAGAGTTGGGCATGACTGAGCGACTAACACTTACATATACTTACTTACATACATGTATAGAGAGAGAGGGGAAGGGAGAGAGAGAGTGAAAGATAAGGTAAATGTAACAAGTGTTAATTGGTGAATCTGGGTAAAAAGTATTCGTGAATTCTTTACCCTTAATGCAACTTTTCTCTAAGTTTGAAATTATTTCAAAATAAAAATTAAAATATTATACCATGGGGCTTCCCTGGGGGCTCAGTGGTAAAGAATCCATCTGCCTGCCAAGGCAGGAGATACAGGTTCGATTCCTGATCTGGGAAGATCCCACAAGCTATGGGTCAACAAAGCCCATGTGCCACAACTACTGAACCTACATTCTAGAGCCACAACTCCCAAGCCCATGTGCCACAGCTAGGGAAGCTTGCGTGCCCTAGAGCCTGTGCTCTGCAACAAGAGAAGCCATCGGGATAAGAAGCCTGAGCACCGCAGCTAGACAGCAACCCCCTCTCACTGCAGCCAGACCTTCCAACCCAAACACTTCACTCTCCAACTTCCATCTGTTTCTTCAGAGGAATGAATGTATTTGACACTTAATTATGTAACGTTTTACTCATCATAATCCTTCCCACCCTCCTTTATCTTCTGACAGTTCTGCATGGAAGCCATTATTCATCTAGCTTTGTTCATGGGCAAATTATAAATCTTTATTGCCCAAGGGTTTTGAGAGAGACAAGGTCAGGGCCAAGATTTAAAAGAAGCAAACCTTGTCTCTGGTACCCAGATTGAATAAGAGACTAGTTTTAACAATTGTTCCAACTCTAGTGCTGTAACCCATGCTGATATTCTTTGATTTGTAGTTTTTGTTTGTTTAATCCTAATCACCCAAAAACTGGGTTTCTAAAGCCAATAGCCATGTAGGGTGAACCAGTCACAAAAAAATGGGGATAGTTTTATTTATTAGGCTGCAGAGAAGTTGTTGGAAAGCCTGAAGGAAAAGCAGATGGTTCTTTTTTTTTTTTATTTCCTGGTGAATTTGGGATACTTTCTGATAAGAAATTACAGATCATTATTTTCCAAGTTATAGCTTTAGTCAGACAGATGGCACAAGACAAAGAACAAGAATTCTAGAGAGTTTCCATGGCGATTGCAGAAGAGTCGTGGCCTGTTTGCAATGATGTGTATTGCAGCATCTAGGATGAAGGTAAAACCCCATGGGATTCATTCCACAACACCCATGGATTTGAAGCTATTCAATGGGTATTTGTTGAGCCTCCATTGTCTCCAAAAACAGTCTCCTATTTACAGCGGGGAAGGGAGAGAAATGTCAAAGCCAACACATTATTGTTTTTTCTCTATAGAGGTATACAATATTGAGTGACATACATATGGATAAGAGCATTAATGAAATCAGTGAATTTGTCATTAATATAGCATTTTCTTTAAACAAGTGCTGTCTACATAAGAAGTGACAAGAGTACAATCCTGGTAACCTGGTTAACAGCAGCGCCTTTATTTGTCCACTATGTCTGAGGCATTGAAGCCCTATGACTGAGAGTCTGAGTTCTGAGCCAGACTGCCCATTTCGTTTCCAAGCATTGCCATTTCTTAGTTGATCAACCCTCCATACGTTATTTAAGTTTGCTGATTCTCAGTTTCCTCATCTATAAAAATAGGAATAATAATGGTGTGTAACTCAAAGAGTGGTTAAAAGGATGCCATGAGTTAAGGCACGGAAAGTGTTTGGAACAGGTAGGTGTTCCACACACGTTAGCTGTTAGCAAGAGGCACAAGCCCTCAATGCAACTTCATTCACTAGTTTTCAAAAAACCAAGCTCATCTGATCTGAAGTAGAGAAAGAACAGAGTGGTTACGAGGACACTATTATCTGGCTCTGTAACCTTTGGAAGCAGCTTCATGTCTCTAACCCTCATTTGTTTCCTCTGGAAAACAGAGAACGTTGCAGTCACCTGTTGTGGTCACCGTGCGGAAACGAAATGGACCCTTCACTCCAAATTTGGTTTGGATGTGGAGACCAAGGATGTCACACAGACACACGAAGAGGGTCTAAGAAGAGTTATTACTCACATGAGGAGGTCTTCTGGGGGACTCTAAGGTGGCCCCCCAAGCAAGTCCAAGAACAGTTTAGGGGAACAAGGGGGGACATTGGCTTTGCCGTTTTACAATGAGGGGACAGGGCTGGGGTAAGGGTTCCCACTTACAGTGGGTTTACATGGTTTTCATTTCGCAGCAGCGCCAAAGTAGGGAGCACTTGTGTTTTGTTTGTTTAATAAGCTTGCCAAGATGTAGGGTAAAAGGGCAAAGTGGGGCCTGACAGCTGTCAGCAGTGAAGCATCAAAAATGGGGTCAGGGACTTCGCTAGTGGTGCAATGATTAAGAACCCATCTTGCAATGTAGAGGACGTGGGTGCAATCTCTGGCCAGGGAACTAAGATCTCACATGCCCCAGGGCAACTAAGCCCATAAGCTGCAATGGAGGATCCCATCAGCTGCAACAGAGACCTGATGCAGCCAAAAGGAATAAATAAATACTTTCTTAAAATGGGGTCACATTCTTTATTCGACCACCTCAGAAGATTGTTATAAAGATTACATGAAATTATGCACAAACAGACTTAAACTCAGTGGCTAGCAAATAGTGAATACTCAATAAATGTTACCTTTTTAAATAAAAATATTTTCTTCTTAAAAAAAAATTCCTCAATTTTTAAAACTTGTCAGAAAATGCAAGAAGCAACACCTGCTTTTTTCTTGTTCTATTTGTTTATACTTATATGCATTTAAAAAATAAAAAACTTCAACATCATCTCTACATACGAAAAAATAATTACTTGCAGTCTCCAAGAGCAGAAAGACTGTGTTCTAAGAATTCTGTTCTAAGTTGTCACTTGGAACACTTTTCCCATAGAAACAATGTTATAAATAGAGTTAAGTCCCCGGGGGATGCTCAAATTCTTCCTAAACTCTAACTAAAATAGTCCTTGATAGAGCAGCAGACTCTTAGTCCTAGAACAGCCCATGGGTCTCTCAGAACCCCAAGCTCTCCCAGGTCAAAGTGACCCCAGGTGACCTAAGACTTTTGGAATTTAGATTTGGAGGAATTGGCTGAATGGGAGCTGAATAGCGTGGTTTGACTGATGAGGGCCCGTGTGCAATTATCAAAGCACTTCCTAACAATCTCTAAATCAAACCCTGATGGGAGTGGCTTTGGGGGCCTCAATGCTGGAGGGGGTAGTGCTTACCTGGAAGGGTAGGGATGCTCCAACTCTCGGCCATCCTAGAGAGAGGTTTGTCCAGGGACAGGATGCTCCAGGAGTGGATCATAGCCTGGGGGAGGGAAAAACAGGGTTCTATCTTCTGGAGGCAGAGTCTGAGGTGTGGGAGGCCTGGAGTGAGTGGTGGAGCAGAACTGTCTCCGGTCACGTGGAAAAGGCCAGGACCAAGCCCTGAGCCTGTCTCGGAGGATGTGTGCCTCTTCATTCTCTCTCATCTGTACTAGTGGTTCTTCTGGGCTGTGGGGAGTTACAAGGGCAACACTGGATAGCAGCAGCAATGTGAAGGAAGACAATCTGGATAGAAGATGAAAAACTTCAGAAGAAAGGGCAGTCTAGGGTCTCTGAGGGGGCAGAAGACAGCCTGGCAGATCAAAAGAAAATAGGATCAGCTCCCTCCATAAACACACTATGTGTCAGAGACCATACGAAGCATTTTATCTGTATGAATACACTCCTCGTCACTCTCTGATGCACTACTACCATCCCATTCATAGATGGAGAAAAATGACACACGAGGAAATTAAATACCTGTTTAATGATCAGACAGCTAGTGAGGGGCAGTGTCAGAAATTGAACCTCAGTGGCTTGGCTACTGAGGCTGGGCCCTTAAGTGCTATGCTTTCTTCCCTCTCACACAAAAGCATCCACCTGGTGAATCCCAAAAAGACAAGGAGAGGTATATGTGGCAAAAGGCCAGATCTCCTGCTAGGAAACAAGGTGGGGGCTGGGATAACTGTGAGTCAAAGTGCCTTCCTGTTCTGGAATGATTAGGACAAGCAGGCTGCATGCCTCACTCACATTCTGAAGTTAGTTCTCCTTTAAATACAGATGTGTCAGATGTTGTAATGGATGCCAGAGATACATGAACAAGCAAGATTTGGCCCCTAACCTCAAGATGTTCTCACAGTCTTGTGAGCAAAACAAAGAAGCAAAAATCTACAAGCAATAAATGCTGGAGAGGGTGTGGAGAAAAGGGAACCCTCTTACACTGTTGGTGGGAGTGCAAACTAGTATAGCCACTATGGAGAACAGTATGGAGATTCCTTAAAAAACTGGAAATACAACTACCATACGACCCAGCAATCCCACTCCTGGGCATACACACCGAGGAAATCCGAACTGAAAGAGACACATGTACCCCAGTGTTCATCGCAGCACTGTTTATAATAGCCAGGATGTGGAAGCAACCTAGATGCCCATCAGCAGACGAATGGATAAGAAAGCTATGGTACATATAAACAATGGAATATTACTCAGCCATTCAAAAGAATTCATTTGAATCAGTTCTAATGAGATGGATGAAACTGGAGCCCATTATACAGAGTGAAGTAAGCCAGAAAGATAAACACCAATACAGTATAATAATGCATATATATGGAATTTAGAAAGATGGTAATGATAACCCTATATGCAAGACAGAAAAAGAGACACAGATGTATAGAACAGACTTTTGGACTCTATGGGAGAAGGCGAGGGTGGGATGATCTGAGAGAATAGCATGGAAACATGTATATTATCCAGTGTGAAACAGATCGCCAGTTCAGGTTGGATGCATGAGACAAGTGCTCGGGCCTGGTGCACTGGGAAGACCCAGAGGGATGGGATGGGGAGGGAGGTGGGACGGGGGTTCAGGATGGGGAACACATGTAAATCCATGGCTGATTCATGTCAATGTATGGCAAAAACCACAACAATACTGTAAAGCAATTAGCCTCCAATTAATAAAAATAAAGGGGAAAAAAACAAAGAAGCAACTGAATGAGCTGTAAGGGGTACCTGCCCAGCCAGAAGCGGGACCTAGCCTTGACTCCGTAGGGATATATTACACTCTACCTGGGCTTCCCAGGGGGTGCAGTGATGAAGAATCCACTTGCTAACGCAGGAGACGCAGATTCCATCCCTGAGATGGGAAGATGCCCTGAAGAAGGAAATGGCAACCCACTCCAGTACTCTTGCCCAGGAAATACCACGGGCAGGAAGCCTGGCAGGTGGCCGTCCACGGGGTCACAGAGTCAGACACAACCGAGCACAGCACCCCCCTATCTATTTCTCCCTGCAGCTGTCTTCCCCTCTGCCTGGTGGACACTGAGCATCCATAGGGCCCATGTGAAACCCATCCCTATGTCTCTTGACCTAGCAAAAGTCCACAGTAAAATCCTGGTTTCTGCTCTCATAACAAGTCTCAGCATCTGAGCTCTGCTTGAAGAGATCCAGGATCTCTCTTCCCACTGAGGGTAATCGCCTTGTCTGTCTTGTTTGCTGCTGTGTCCTTAGCACCCAGGACAGTGTAGATGCTTCACAGTCAGTCATCAGTTAAACTAGCATCATTTATTTATTTACTAAAAGCAAATTCCATGCGTGGGAGGTATGAGACCAATGAGAACCCCTTGATAAATTCAAAAATTTCTGAAAAGCCTGTTTGATGTCTAGGAGTTCTCTGGCTCTACGGGCACTTTGAGCTGATATTTCTAGATTTGTATTATGGACATTTTTACACAAGAGTATGGATATCTGTTTAACGTGTAAGGGTTATTTTTCAAGTAATCACCATCTGGCTGGAATTTATAACCAAACTCTTATGAATTGCACAGTGTTGTTTTTTTATAAAGTCATTATGGAGAGAATTTATAGAAGAGTTCATTATTAATGTTCTTCTGACAACATGCCATGAGATAAAAACATTTGATATTCATTCTTTTAAAACATTTCCTTTTCATTCTTTTTTAACATTTCCTTTACTTATTATTCATATAAACATACCACCAAAACCTCTTATGATTCTATTAAATGCAATCATATTATTTAGTCTTTTGTAACCAGTAATAATGTGCTGGCCTCCATGTTAGTAACTGAGTTGAAATGCTGCTTTCCAGACCATAAGATCTGGCCTTACTCCTAAAGTTTGTGCTTTAGGAGGATGTTCTAAAAAAGCTGAGTCTTGGAAAAGTGAGACTTGGGATAAACATGGAAACTACTTCTTCAGCCATTTCAAGGTCTAAGTGAGCTACTGGGAGACAATGCCTGGCACATGGTGAGCAATCATTAGTTGCTATTATCAGTCATTAAGTAGCTATTATTAACATTCTCTCCAGAGCCAATTGCTATCTGCTCCATGATTGCAGAGGTTTTTGTCTATTTACAGCAAAATTATAAGTGCCACTTAGACTAGTATATGGCACAGAACAGGGATTTAATATTTATTGAATATTAGTTAATGCAACTTTAAGCCAACCTTACCTACTCATGTACCAGGCAGTTGATGGATACCAGGACTATCCTCATCTCAGTTCTTTCCCTTGATCCCATTTCAGTTCCGTTCTGCCCGACTCCTGGCCCATGACTGTCTCCAGTTTTCATCCCCATTCCTCCCTTCTGGACTTGCACACTTACCCTGATTTCCTTGGATTGACCAAGGCACTCTGTAGCGAGTGTTTCCCTTTGACTCTTCTCTGTCTGGTTGTCTGAGGGAGAAAATTCTGACCCACTTTTCATCGTGATAACAAACTCTACTGCCAGCCTCACCGATTGTTTTTTCAATTATTTATCATCTGTGTAGCACAGCTCTGGTGAAGGGAACGGCAATCCACTCCAGTGTTCTTGTCTGGAGAACCCCATGGACAGAGAAGCCTGTGGGCTACAGTCCATGGGGTCACAAAGAGTCGGACATGACTGAGCAACTAACACATCAACACACATGTAGCACACAGTATTCCAGGCCCTGGAGAAACAGTGGTGAAGGAGAAAGGCAGGTTCCCTTGTCTTTGTGATGACAGGCTAAAATCATCATGATCTCTGTTCTTTTTATTATATGGAGGTGCAGAGAGACGGGGTGAGAGTCTCATGTAATGGACAGGCTGCAGATTCATGAAAGGTGAGAACCATGGCTAAACTGATGAGATGCCCAGCTCTGGCCTCTTTGAAACATCGTCACCAAAGAAAGTGCGGGCAAAGGTCATCTGCCGTTTCAATAAACAAAGGATGTTGCCCACCGTCAAGCCATCAGCCACTGCAGCCACCACTGATGGTGTGCACTGAGGGGAATTCGGGTTGGAGAAAAAGAGGACACTGGCCTAGATAGCTCAGATGCATACCCAAGGAAAGACTTCAATGACCCCAGACTCTTGCATCTTCCCATACACAGACAAGCTCTAAAATCGCTAACTTGAGATGTCTGCTTTTGTGATTAGCAGTAATCTTTTGATGTTTGGCTATATGGTTTTCTTTTTCTCCCAGCAAAAACTATATATCCTGGCTCCTCCCTAGCCTCTTTGGAGCAGTTCCTTGGAGTTATTTGAGAGATCGTCTCCTAGGCTATACTTCTCAGAAAGTCCCTAAATAAAACTTAATTTGAATCATTTAGGTTGTACATTTTTCTTCAGTTGACAGTCTACTCCTGTAGAATCCTTGTATCTTAAAGATCATGGAATATGTTCCTTTACTTTCAATCCTGAGGACTTAATTCTTGCTGACTAATAAAAAAGCTCACACTTGAGAACCCAGGTAAACTTTACTTCAGTCACCCATGACCAACACCTCACATACCTTTAACCTCCAAAATTACAAGGCGGGTTGTTGAAAGATAATTCCTGCTGAAACTCCATGATAGCACTAAAATATGCCCCATGAGCTCTTTTAAAAGTTTCGGCTCTGCACACAGATTCCACTTTGTGTTTCCAGACACTTGGTTGTTTGAGAAGATGCCAAAGTTTTACCTCATCATCATTATGTGAGTGAAATACGTGCTTTAAAAGTCCCTGGACTTTCCTTAATAAGCTTAGTACTTAGTAAATGATTATTGAAGCAGACTCCACTACGTGACTACCATCCTCCATTTCTTGTGGGGGGGCGGTTTGGGGTGGGGGCTGCTGCAGGGAAAGCGTGTTGAAAATAAAATACTTCAAAAGCTGTAAGGTCCTTACAGTCATAAACACAATTTGAATGTTAAAAAAGGTAAACCGCATGCTGATAACAATAAATGATAGTAAAATTTCCCCCACACTCTGCAATTTTACAGAATAGTATGAAACTAGGTAAGGCTTTTACCAATACATCAGTGCTTAAAACTTAGATGTCCCTGGTTGTCATTGCTTTATCAGCCTGTCTTTCCATAGGAGACATACAAGAACCAAATGGAAATCTTCTCTAAATGTCACACATTTGCACAGTAATAATGCTGGCTATCACTTCTGTGATTGCTTACTGTGTCCCAGGTGCTTCTTTATGTCCTTGACACAGGTTAACACATTTAATCCTCACAGCCGCCTTGGGAGGTAGGTGTTATCCAGGAGAAACTGAGGCACAGGGCTGACCAGAACTATTATGCAAGGCCATATGCCGTGCTGCGCTTTGTCATTCTGTCCCTCTTTGTGACCCCATGGAATGTAGCCCACCAGGCTCCTCTGTCCACGGAATTTTCCAGGCAAGAATACTGGAGTGGGTAGCCATTCCCTTCTGCAGGGGACCTTTCTGACCCAGGAATCAAACTTAGATCTCCTGCATTGCAGGCAGATTCTTTACTGTCTGAGCCACCAGGATAGCCCATGCAAAGTCATACCTGCGTGAGATTTGCTATAGCTAATATACATTGGCTACTAGGTACAGAATTGTTTTAACTTGAAGTTTTTTTACACTTCAGTTTATTTCCAAAGGAAACTTCGTGTCTCTAACTGTAGATGGAAAAATCAGTATCACTTGCCATAAATAGGAGGTAACTATGAAAACAGATAGAATGAGTGCAAAACAATGTTATTAACTTTCAGCTTGATTCTCTTGCCTGCCAAGATCAGAGATTTGCTTTCTCTTTGTTAAGAAGGAGCAGGGGAGGTGAGAAGCAGGTGTTACCAAGGTGTTAAAAATACATGAAAACCAAAACATAAGGCAAAAAAAAAAAAGTAAAATTGAAAGTATGTATTAATGCCACCATAAAACTTCACTTTCTCCTTAATGTAACTGCAACAGCTGAAAGACTCAAACTTCATTCTCTCATTATGTGCTCTGGATTCCAAACCTGATATTGTCCCTTCTTTGCCCTGTGTTATCTGACTGCCCTGAGCCCCCGGTTTCTATCTGAAAATGAGAACAACCTCAGAGGTGCAGACATCACATAAATACCAAGCCAGGCACACAGTAGGTACTCAAAAAAAAAACACTGTGTTCAGCGGTCACTTCTTGAAAAGACATGCCACCTTATTTCTCGTCTTGAAGTGAAGCACAGATTGGGCTGTCTCCTGTCCTGTGTCAGCAGAACAGGAGTGGGCTGAGGGTCGCGTGGGTGTGACATTTCACATTCAGCAGAGGCAGGGTAAAGAAGCTGGGAGGGCTTCTGATCTGAGCAATCTGCTCATCTGCTAGGGGTCCCAAATAGATGGTGAGGAGAGACAGGAAAGTTCAATCATAAACGTCTTAGAACTATTGGAAAGCAAGGGAGATCACAGAATCCACTCCTTCCCAGGTCATGGGTCAGGACACAGAGCCTTCGGGCTGCAGGACCCTTCCCTGTGACCCCCAGGCAATGAGAGGCAGCCAGACTCTCAGGCCCCTCTGAGCACTGTGCTCTTCCCACAGTCCCATTGGCCTCCTTCTCCTGAGCTGATCAGGGGTTCCACGCCCTGAAGACCCATATTTCCAGAGTCTAGACCCCAGGATCTTAATTTCCAAAATGATCATTGCTTCCAATGCTATCTAGTAATTTGCTACAACATTTGTAGCCTTGCTGAGAAAACGTTGCAGTCCTTCTCAAGGAAGCCAAGCCTTTTTTTAACTTTCTTGCCAAATCCTGATTACATTAATTTTCAAAAGATAAAACAAACTAAATCCACAGCACAGGGAAATAGTTCCATTTGGGTCTTTGGTCTGTTTTAAGACAATTCTGATTCCCTCAAGATAGCATTTTCTGAGTCACATACCGTGGAACACAGCCTAGACCTACAGCTCCCATTCCAAAGGAGAAAGACAGTGAGGGAAAACAAAAGGGGAGAAGGAGGGACAGACAGGTTACAAACCCAGCACTGAGGGTGCAACCAAGTTCCAGAAAAATTGGTAAAGGGAAGCCCCCAACCTTCTCTCAGAGAGGCTGGGTGTTGGGTGTCCATGGTTTAGGGGAGAAAACAGGAGAATTTAGTCCCAGGAATAACATCATGAAGTGGTGCTGACTGTGATTCATGGATCGAGCATTAAATTCCACGCCCATACTCACTCCGAGAACTCCTCAAGATTTGCATCCCTTGGGGGCCTAGTTTTTTTGTACAAGGATAGTAAAGAAAAGCCCACAAGGGCCAGCTGGGAAGGTAAATGAGTGAGACACTGGCCAGAGGGGACAGTGACCAGAAGGGCATCTCACCTGTCTCTCTTTAAGAAGGCAGCTGAGGGCATTATTCACAAAAGTCAAGACACAGATGCAACCTAAATGTCCACTGACAGAGGAAAGGATAAAGAAGATGTGCTGTGTGTGTGTGTGTGTGTGTGTATAAAGGAATATTACTCAGCCACAAAATAGAAGAAAATATTGCCCTTTGCAGCAACATGAATGGACCTAGAAATTATAAACTAAGTGAAGTCACCTTCTTTAGAAGGAAAATAAAATAATACAAATGAACTCAGATATTGAAAAAAAAGAATCAGACTGACAGACATCAATAACAAATATATGATTACCAAAGGTGAAATGTGTTGAGAGGGATAAATTAGGAGTTTGGGATTAGCAGATACAAACTATTATATATAAAATAGAGAAACAACAAAGTCCTACTGTATACCACAGGAATCTATATTCAATATCCTATAATAAACCATAATGAAAAATATTTTTAAAGTGTGGATAACCACTTTCTTGTACATCAGAAACTAACAAAACATTTGAAATCAACTATATTTTCTAAAAAAGGCAGCTGAGGTGCAGCTCTTGGATTGTTATCATGCAGGACCAGGGATGCAGAATCACCAGATGCACAGGTTAGGAAGCTATCATCTACTCCACATTCAGTTTTGACAATGAGGCCTTTCTCTTTTGTCAACTGCCTTCCTAGTAGGTTCTGCAGCAGCGGGCACTAGAGGGAGCCTGGGTGGCAGGAGATGGGGGGGCAAGCCCCTCGGGCCTGTTTGCTTGCTGGAACCACCAGCCTCACCCCAGCAGCAACATCTGCTTCCAGATGCCAGCTTCCTTTCCCACTCTCAGAACCAGCCTGTGTTCTCACAAAGGAACCAGCAGCTGCCCTGGGGGCACCCCCTCAGGTCCACAGACCCCACTTCTCTGAGCCTCTGGGTTTTGATAGCCCTGTTTGTTCCCTTCGTTCCACCAAACCCAGGAGTGGAAGCTCCTCCCTGCAGTTACCACGTGTGGTTACCACAATGCCCCCCATCTTTACCTTTCAGCCTCCCCAATACTTATTTAGTGAATCCTCTACATTAAACCTCTGTTGAAATACCAAGTGAAATACCAGTGTTTACCTGACTGAACTCTGATTGATCCACCAGTTCTTTTGACGTTAGGAGAAGTGGAGCATGTAGACTATTTTATGGAATTATTCCATTTTTAAAATATTGTGAAACGAAAAACAGGTATCTGAAGACCAAATTCAGCCTTGGAGTAGATGCAGTGGTGTTCTCGAGATGAGGGCTGCTGCTGGGACCGTCAGCTCTGGGTGGCTCACGGCTGTCCCCTCCCTCACAACTTCCCTCTAATGGAGGGAACTCCCTGAGCTGGTCCAAGAGCAAGCCCCTTCCCAAGGACAGGCTGCGGCCAGTGGCCGGCTGATACAGGGAAACAAAGAGCTGACCTCAAGCTTCCTCTGGAACACCTCTGGGGGGCCATCCAGCTTCAGAGACCCCTGCAGGACTGGCTAAGGCCTCTGGGTTGCAACCCCATCATGGGTCAACTTCTTGCCTTGCCCAGGTCTGCCTTTCTCACTTCCTTCCTGGAAGGCTCCCTAGAGAGCTTCCCCAGTGACCCCGCAGGCAGCTCTCTATCAGGAGACTGTTTCCAGGAAACCCAAACCAAGCCAAAGCTGCATTCGTTTGGTGTGCAGGGCACTGCACTCACAGAAAGCATGTGAAGAAAGAGAAACACTTCATTTCACCAAGACACATTCCACTGGAAAGAGGGCAAAGTAAAGACAGAGACAGTAACTGGGAGAGAATATAGAGTGGAGATGAGGCGAACAGTCCCCAGAAGCAAAGTGGTCATTACGACTTCCCTGGAGCTTCTCTGGGAACCATGGCAGACACCATTCCCCAAAGCCAAGAAGATACAGCGGCCACCTCGGCCTTTTCTGTCTCCAAGTGGACGCAACAGGGGAAGCACTGCCAGGGACATTATCTCAATGCAACTTGAACTTGCCCCACCACAGAAGTCTCCCTGTGGCCTCGTGGGGAACCAATGACTGCCCTGCATTTGCATCTGGACAGCAGCTTGGAAAGGCAGGAGCAGGTCCGAGCTCCCTCCCAGTGGGACGGCGCTGGGGCTGCAAGTGATGGAGATGCCCGCAGAGTCCCCACCGCTGTGCAGGCTTTTCACCTGCAGCAGGAAGGAGCCGCACTTCCACCATCCCCTGCACTGCTTGGCGCAGGACGGGAGATGACGGGAGATGTACCTGAGCAAGGTGTGGCCTTCGTAGATTCTTTAGAACCCAGTACATGCACCTCTGGGCCTGGCCCACGATAGCTTTCCTGGGAACATGAAATGGCTTTTTGTTGTTGTTTTTATTAAAGTATAACACGTCCCTTTCCTGGCTAACCCCTTTCTGTAGCTCACCCATGTCCATCTGATCAGCAGGCTGGTCAGAATCACGTCAAAGGAGAGAAGTGGGGAGGCAGGGGTCAACCATGCTGTAATATTTAACTATATTACTTAAAGTCACTGGAGAAAACTCATTTTAATTTTCAACTTCAAAGAGAGGCCAACGGAATTACTGTAGTATCCCCTCGGGACATCTTGACGTGCACCATGTCAAAGGGCAGGAAAGGTGAGACAAGCGAGGCCTCTGTTATCAGGAGTTGGTGGTCTCGCCGGCTCCTCTCTGTAGGCCCGAGGTTGGCAGGGGAGCAGAAGAGACAGAAAAATGATAGGCAGTAGGATGTAGAGGGGATCAGGCTACTTCAGCCGTCACTAAGTCATACCTCTGAATGTGTGTTCTGATCCTTAGACAGAGAAGTCAGAGGAGGATGAACCATTGTAGGCATCTGAGTAGCCAGAAACTTAGTATCAAATGAGCAGCAGAATCAGAATCCGGGTGAACATGCTTCTGTTAGAAGAAGTCCAGTTGGAGCTGATAGCCCTTCTTTGGAATATTAAAGAAGTCCAAACCTCCCAGAATACATCACAAGGCAGCGTTGCAC